TGGTTTCCACAATTTTTTCTTTAAATTTAATTGCAAGAATAAGTTCAATACAGATCTAAAGATGGCATAGTTTTTTTCAATAATTACAAAAATGTAATTTATTTGACTACTCTCTCACGTCCTTAATATATTCATTAGCAGCAATTTTGTGCTCATTATTATATTTATAAGTACACGTGCTGTAAGTAATGCCACATAAATCTTATCGAAAACTCAACAATTTGTTGTCAAAATTAGCTCAATATTTCGCAATTTCAGAAATGCACAATTGCTCTCTCATAGCAACGTAAAGTTCATTTGGTTTTTTAAATTACACAAATGTAATTTTTTTAAAGATCTTTAATAATATGCACGTTTTCAGCGATTTGTAAACACTATTGTATTTTGAGTAATTGTACTTCAAATGACTGCTAATGAAGTTATTCGAAAACTCAACACTTTTCTGTGAAAATGTTTTACAACTTTCGAATATACTGAAGCTCTTAAGCGCCATTTTTTAAAAAACGGATAAACATTTTTTAAAGGAAATTATCATTTAGGACGTGGTTTTACTTTTAATATACTTAAATAATATTTTCGTTCTATTATTCTATCCGAAAAATTAAGAAAATTTCAAAGAATTGCATTTTGGTCGGCGATAGATAGCAGCAGGCAAGAGCATGTGGCAAGTTTGAATAGCTTGCCGGGACCAAAGGAAATAAAAAACCAATACGGGAAAGTCTGTGTCCTCTGTAGCACCACTAGTTTGGCATTGGTATTCAACATGCAACTATTGAGGGTAAAGGGTGGGGAATGAATTTTGAAACTCAAGAAAACATGCGAAGATTATAATTGTGCCCCATACGTCAACTACAGTTTTTTCTGCTTTTTATGAAAATAAATCAACTCAAATACTTCGTAGTACGGCATTTTTTATATTTCTTTACTAATGGATAAAATATAGCATTTTTTTTAATTAGGAAAATGTCCCAATGGCTTTACGTAAAGTACTCCCCGAAATGAAAATTTCAGTTTTAAATTCAAGGAACGGTTTAGCCACTAACGTTGTCCTCAGGCAGACTGACAGACGTTTTGCTGACAAACGATTTTGCGGTTTAAATGACCCTCAAAACATGGATTCTGACTACACCCCGTGTTAGAAAATCCCCCCCCCCCCGCAGTACATTTGTGCCAGTTTTGGTGAAGGTACTCTGAAGTGCAATGCGCGTTCACGCCACGGGCGGTGGGACATTCACTACCCTTACGGGGCATCTATGGCCTATCCTAGTTAACATAAGAAAAAAAACGGTCAAAGACATTCAGCCTACCGGCGCGCGCATTGCGTGTTTGGTAATACTATGTTTAATGCCCCAGTCCCACTTCTCTGTTTCAGATTGCTCTTACTCCAGAAAGTGTTTCGGTCGGCCTATACTTCGCCCTTTAGTCGGGCTCGTATGAAGCGCGATCGGCGGGAAATGAGTTCATTTTCGAGTCAGCTCGCTTTCCTCAAAAGTTTTTAACTAAAGTTTTTTTATGTGATTTTTTTTAGCAGTGGCATTGATGCTTCGCGATGTAAAGTTTCTTAGAGTATATCTAGGGGCGCAGAGGGCGGCCCTGAGACACTCGTTTTGAACTACAATCCCCCCCCTAAATTTAGCATCTGGATTTATCCATTTCTGGACTCTCTTAAAAGTTTTTTCTGCCGAAAATTCGCCGATTTTTCGCGCAGCATTACATACCTTTTTACTTCATAAGTTAACTTGACGCTACCGTCTGCTCCCCAAATGTATGAACACATTTTTAGGTCATTTTGCTTCCGTGATTCGTTACTGCCCAGCATTTTCTTCATGATTTCTAGTCTTTTCCTATATCATCCAGAAGATTGTGCATAAAGTAAGTCGAAGTGTTAAGGAACGAAAATTTGTAAATTGACGGAATTTGGTTCACTGCGTTATTGAAACCAACTGACCAGCTGTTAATTTTTGTATTTTATTTAATCTTTTGTTAACAGCGTGAATTACTATAGTAATAGTCTTATTCATTCGCTGCTTACAATGAGAGATGACATTACGGTGGTGAAGGTTTCAGTACATAGCTCCATCTAATGACTTTTCTTGAGATACGACAGTAATAATAGAATCGGTGAGTGTAAAAATAGTACAACTACAATTTTATTTAGAAAAACCCAAAAATATATTTTGCGTAAAACGTGTACATTGTTCATCAATCAAATGCACAGAGAAGTTGTAAGGAATGACTCCCTCTACAAGAATTTACAGAATAAGTTTCATTGTGTGCATCCTAAGCATTTCCAGCAAGCCACAACATTTCTCCAGTGCGTATTGTAGGAAGTATTTTCTTCCGCAATAAAATGACGTTGTGAGGAGAGAGTTATAACTTGTTGAGCTTCTAAATATCCCTAGCAGCAGTGTACCAAAATTCTCAAACGCTCCGTTCCAGAGACTCGAAATGGAGCCCCTATCTGTAAAAAATGTGAAACGTTTTTTATCTACCTGATACAATAATATGGCTAGTGAAAATGGAGAAAATAAGAATGAGATGCAATTTCTTTATTTGCCAGTGTCCGTCCTCGGGAGTCCTTATTAAGAACCTCTGACTTCGAAAAAACAGTGTTGTGCGCCAGTTTCACCAGGTTAGCTACCCTTCTGATCCTAAGAATGAACAACTTATTCGAAAAAAGAGGAACGAATTTGTAATTTATTGTAATGTTTTGATGCTCCAGAGAACTATTATCACATTCATTGTAATTTTTGTAATCAATGATTTCTCGATTCCCTCCCCATAGATCCCCGTAAAAAATTCATCGACCTCAAGATATCGATCTCGTTGGGAACCCCTGCGTTAGAACTGTGGAGAAGTTTCTAGAACAGGCCTAAACAACGCCTGCTACTGCGCGCATTCTGAAATTACGAGCCGGGCGTGTGCCCGCTGGAGCTGCAAAAGTAGAAGAAGTGGGGAGTTGTTTTTTTGGAGGGGGGGGGGAGAAGCCCGAGTTGAATCGAGGTTGTGCGTAGATTGCCTGGGCCACTTATTTAATTGGGCTATCAACCGTATTTATAACTGTAGGTACCGTATTTCACTGTTTATGTTTTTCTGTACACTGCTGTGTATCGACATATTTTTATTTTTTTTTTTGGTTAAAATTTAGTATACGGTTCACCCTTAGAGAAGCGTGGCGGCGGGGCTTAAGCCCTAATTACTGTACGTGCTCTAATAGAAATGAATAAAATTTACGGATAGGCGGTTTTCATGGTTCGTCCTTCATATGCTTTGTCCCCGCCGCGTTGTAACGCCAATTTACTTTCATAGGCAAGTTTTCTCGCTTAGCTCGCCCAGATCCAAGTCACGGCGAGGCTCGGGCCTTCGGCCCTCGCGTTCACTATAAACATCCTTGAGTGTATCTACCGCGTAATTACCAATTCACTTTTATAAGACATCACTTTTCAAGAAAGCCTCCAGAATTCCAACTGCCTAGTTAACGCCAGAACGGCGCGAAGTGCCGGTTTAAACGACTTCCTGAGATTGTACCGTATACTACATTTTAGCCATTGTTTAAAATTTATTGCTCATTGTAATTCATATTAAATGTTTTAAATGGTAGCCTCTCTTAAGACATTATTATGCGATTTTAACTAGCAAACATTTATGATTAAATACTTGATTTTCACCAGGAACGTTATAATTTCTAAAATATAGCAAAACAAAGGAAATGGAGAGCAGTCTCTTACATTGTGATTGATTTAAAATGTAGTCAATACCAAGAATGGTAATATTTGGCAGCACATATATTTGTGACCCCTCATTATGAAGCTTAATAATATATACCAATGAGCAAACCCTTTCAACGATATTTTACGGTTAATCATGATATTATTATGAGTCTTGTTAAAAAGAACGCAAAGGACTTTATCCTTTTTCTACGATGTTGTAAACGGTTATGAATAAATAGGGTTCGTTGATTTGAAATTAGAAATGTGTAATGTACACTTGCGCAAAAATATAACAGAAAGTAATCATGTTATTTTAAGAATAAGATTTTCTTAGCTTTGATAGAACCGTCTTAATCAATTAAACATAGTTAATGAAAAAATTATTACTGTCATCATCAAACAAAAAATATTCGATATTACAATTTTGTATTCAGCATAACGCTGGATTTGCGATTACATCGTAGAAAAGCAAATTACATTACCTGCCCCTCAAGCAATTTTAATACTGATATTCAAATCAAATATGTATGTATATTCGTTTTATGTTCATTTTTCACATTGTCATACATCGACAACAAACATTTCTAAAATAAATGGTGGCAATGATACTTAAACTGTATGTAATAGTCCTTCATATTCTCGCAATTGCTGCTTCAATTTATGCTCTAACTGCGCATGTTCATTGGCGGTCCCCACTCAGAATGAGTCTTATCCACCCACTCATCCACGAGGCCGTCGCTGCACTGCGCGCGGCTCTTGAAGCCAGTCACGGGCCCAAACGCTGTACAGGCATGCCTCTAGAAAGCATCGTTTCTGAGTCGCGAAAATGCCAAAACGTGTTTGCCGCCAATGTGTGTTGGCGGGTTGCATAAGCACACGCTATTCCCTTAAGAGGTACAGTTTAGGATTTTCATTGGCGACCCGCGATTTGTGGAAAATTCTGCTCGCGTGCGGGGAGGGACGTCAGATCGCTGGGGCAGTTGTCGAAGGTCACGTTCATGCGGAACAGGCTTGCTTGAATCTCGATGTTATTGTCTGATAATTGTCTGGTTTGAGGGGATTGCTGCGAAGTTCATCTTCAAACAGAAAGTTTGAATGCACGACTCGTACGTAAATGTGCATACAGCTATGTGCATCAAATTTGGAGCAATTTATTCTAAATGTTAACACATTAAAAGCGTAAGTATGGTCATTTTCAACAAGACACCGCAACCGCGAACTTTGCTTCAGTTGGTCTTACAGTTTGCATGCTGTTTACGAAAAGAGAATTATCATAGGTGGTTTGTGCGATTTTTTTCTTTGGGGAATGTTGAAGCTCTCTGTATATGCGACAAATCTCCGAACGGAAGAAGAGTTAAGGAACAGATCTGAGCAATACCACAGGTCATTCTTTACCGAGTAAACCAGAATTTATTTAGATGTCAAGAATGTATCAGAGCCTCACTGAGCCGTTCCAGCATCTTCTATAAGATCAGTACAATTTCACGTTTCCGGTAGAGGAAAGCCACCTTCCGTCGTCGACAGGTCAACCGTCCGTCCTGACTCGTTTTCTGTGGCCTCAAACGCCAGGGCCAAGTCCTCCCGCTTGACCAAGGTTTACGTGTTGACAGCAGTGTTGCAGTTCGCACGCTTTTCGCGTTTTACTGCTACGTGTAAGTGGCTGGTGTGGGTTCGCGTCGGACCTTAGTCAGCAACCAAATCGGGTTTCGCGTTGCACTACGCCCTCAGAATATCCGAGGGGAGTGCTTGTCTTCTTTGTCCTATGGTGAGGACGTGTCGAGCTGTTTTAGCGTTGCCAAAGCTTACGAAAGCCGTCTCGAGTATTGACTCGATATCAAGTTCCTTCGTCAGTACTTCCAAACGTTTCCGAAACGGAGGGCGTGATATGAGCCGAAGTCATGGGTAGCCCCGCGACCGGCACATTAAACTGCTAACGAGTGTTTTTTTTATTTAAATGTGTCTTATGCAGGCCTGCATTTGATGTAAGTTCTTAGCAGCAATAGCACACTTACGACGTTTTGCCTCCATGGTTTCTAACAAATTGTTTAAAATCTATTTTCCTTTTCTTTTCTCTATCTAATTTCTTTATTCATTCACGTTTTTTCAATACTTAACTGGAATGCACCTCGGCTGAAAAGTAATCATTTCTCGGGCTGGCTTGTTTTACCCCCCCTCCCCAAACATCACTGCTTTGTGCCCCTGGTGGCAAAGAGCTCGACTGAAAAACATTTCTCTTTTGGTTTTGTGGCATATAATAAATTATTTGTTTCAGTGATAATTGTCGTTGATTTCATCATGCTGATTCTCAATATCATGCTCGTTGTGACATGCTATTGTTTTATCGTCTCCGTTCGCCGGGTAAGTCTATTTTCTGTTAGTACATTTATTTCCAACTGATGACCTATTTATACAGTTGACTGAAATACGTACTTGGTGTTTAATAAATATTGTAGTTTGATTTAAAAGGTCAAATCGAATCGCACACTAACAGAAAATGTCACGATGCGAATCAAAGTAATAAAAAATACCTTCTGCGGAAAAAGAATGAAAAACACAACAACAACAACAACAACAATGAAAGTAGCGGTGAAAAAGACAGAAACTGTTTCGTGGGTGATGTTAAGTATAATATAATACTAGTTCCACCCGGAAGAGCGTATTCAAATGCAAAAATTCGGAGGCGGGTCGGGATTTGAATCTCGTATGTGGGTTCTGGATGCAACAAACTAAGCTATTACTTCACAAATTTCAGTGTCTTGATTGAAAATTGGACCTGCGACAATTTTATAAGTTCTGAAGTTCGCTCTGTTTGTGCAAATATTATGTAAATATTGTCTAGAGACGTTTAAAATAAATATTTAAAATATTTTTAAAAGTGTCAGGAAAATAATTCCCGCGTATTAAAATTAAAGGGGCTTTAATATCAATTGATATTAAAGCCTTTTTATCTTTTAATGTCAATTGACATTATTGATATCAATGACAAATATCTATTTCGTTGAATATATGTTTCATGTTTTAGGCGCTAGTCTTTGCTCACTGACGGACTGTCGGAAGCTTTTGAAAGAAAACGGAAAAATTTTTCTGTACCAGGGAGTCGCAAAACTTGTATTTTCGTCATAATTTCTACTTCGACTTTTACAAGCTTATAATACAATCTCTAAATTATATAAACATTATAGTAGTTAGTATTGCAGTCGAAAAAATAACTTCTGCAATATTAAAAAGTTAAAATATTCCAAAGAAACTGAGACATGCGCCGTTTTAAGCGGCGATTTGAATACATTATTGTATTTACATGTGCATCAAATGTACATGTATACCAAATGATGTGGTAAAAGGTTTATCGAAAACTCTATAAACTTTTCTGTGTAAATGAACTCGAAATTCCGTATTTCAAGAAACGCTCAAACGCTGTTTTCTCCCGTTTTCTCACGAAGGCTACAATTTTTTCTCAAGTGTTTTGTGCAAATAGTGATAAATGCCCAAATGCACTGTATAAGATAACATAAAAGTAATTTGTTTGTGTTCGTTTTTTCCAAAAAGTACGCAAATGTATATTTATAAATATCTCTGAAGACGGTAATATGTACGTAGTTTTCCAGAAATTTGTATAAATTGTTACATTTGGAGTAGATGTGCTTCAAATGATTTCCAATTACTTTTCTTGAAAACTTAAAAGTTTTCTGTGAAAAAGAGCTTCAAGTTTTGCATTTGCAGTAAGCTTAAACGACATTTTTTCTAACACCGGGATTTATCTGACAATTTCCAAAGCACGAGTGGTATTTAATAGGACTATTCCTCGAATGAAAGTATGTCCAGCAGAGTTCCAAAATTCGCCAAAAATTGAAAATAAATGAAAGCTATGTTAAAATCAAAGATGTCGCGTTATAATACATATGCGGTTTATTGGACATCGACATATAGATTGATGTATACCGCCTCCTAAGGCAGATGAGTCCCAAGTTGTGATTGTCTATTAGGGAGAAGCTATAAGAAAAATAGGATAGAGAGAGCGATACACTTTTTGAGATGCACCGCCCTGATTTGGAATTTTGGTATGTATAGTTAAACACTATTGGTTTTAAAATAATAAAATTGTTAACAACTACAAAAATGTTTAACCTTATTTAGCTGATTAATGTAATAGATTAAACCGTACATATTGTGTAAAATGTTATTAAATGTAACAATCCTGTTCATGTAATAATTGCAACCTTTATGTTTATACATACGATTGTACAATGACAGGGGTCGCTGATGACCTAGATGTTATAAAGCGACCATAAATAAAAACAAAAACTATTGGTTTTCATCGCTGCGGACCACGTGTGTTTTTCTCTTTCCTTCTATCTTTACATCTTACTTGCACATATTTATACACATATGCACTACAGTGCCATTCATCTAGCGGGGGAAGATTACAGCCATTTCCCCGCAATAAAACACGCATTATGCTTAAGGGACTAATGATCTTCGCCGTTGATGTGTCCGGAATCACTCATCAATCAAATTAAATCAATTCCTTTCTCTGAAGTTTGACTGCTAACTCACGTGCTTAACAACGCAGGTTTTGGTGTCAACCTGATCTGTTCGTTTTCTGATTGCTTTGTGTGCAGAAAGAAGTAAATCTCGCGATCGGATTTGTTGTCCTGGCGGCGGTATGCTTGTGTATAAACCCTTGCTACTGGGTCATTCGTCTCGCCATGACACCACCATGGGGCTACTTCAATGGCGTCAGAATTGCTTTAACAGTCATATTTCTCCTATTGTTTTGGGGTAAGTTTTTATTTTTAAATAAAGCGTCATTTAAATGAAGACAGCTCCTTATACTATTAGACCCCTAAAATAAAGATACGATGCAAATTTATTCTTCAATAACAATTATAGGACTAAGAACTGTTGTATGATAAATAAATAAAGATATTGTCAGGTATCAATATTGATACGTGACAATATCTTTATTTATTTATCATAATAAAAAGATATCTACTTCACCAACAATCCAATTAAAGAACTGTTGTATATTAAAGGTTGAAAATATCTTATCAGTGTTCCGTTATCTAACAAGGCTGCGTCTGACAGGTAAGAGCGAAAGCAAGCAGCCGTGATTATGGAGACACAGAGATGTTACAGTTTTGAATTAGTTCTACAAGCTTGTGTCCTTAAAAAGATTTGAAGTACTCTTCAATGACAGTTAGCTTTCCTTGAGAGTCAGAAACTATTAGAAAATGTTTTTACTCTTGAGAAAGTCAAGTAAAATATTCTATGCAAAAATACAAGACCGGGCAAAAACAACCTTACTATTTGCAATATTATTTAACTTTCCTGGATTTGTTTTGAGGAACAGAAGTGGACTTAGTGGGGCAGGGCGGCAGCTTGCTGGGGTGCGAAAATTGAAAAATACTAAAAAGTATTGGATTATTTTTTGTGTTCTTATGTACCTCAAGAGAAGCAATTTTAAGCCAAAAAATAATAAAACTAATATTTTCACATTTGAATAATAAATACCAGTTGTTACCATTAGACAAATTCAGTAGGCTTAGACTTCACTTCAGTACATTGGAATATTGGTCAAACGATGTTTTTGTATTGAATATCTTAGTGAACCGACACCTTCAGTTTAATAACAAACGGTGTATTATTTACAATATGAGTTTTCAGCTGGGTTTTGATGAACAGTCTTTCATATACCGCCAACATTTAAATCGTGCGTGTGAATTGTGATCGTTGGCAGTTCTCGAGTGATTTGCGTTATTCTTTTTATAATTTTAAATTTGGTTGCATTTTTAAACGCGTTTACAAAGTATTGTAGGCTAGCGCGTTTCTTTTTTTTTTGTTGTTCATTTCTTTCAAGCTATTTTACTTTAGTTCATTTAAAAAATTTGTTATTTGTGTAGTGCCATAGCACAAGTTTTCCTCTCTTACTTCCCCGTACTCGTGCGAGAACACATTAAACCTTACACTCTTCCCTATCCTTCTATTTTAAAACGTAAAGTTGTTAACAAAACAAATTTGTTTAATATATATAAAGATAACTTCCAATGAACTAACAAAATATCAAAAATAGAAAAGCAATGCAACTAAGGTTGCAAAGACATTTTCAATAAAGATTTATTCAGTAATATTGGGAGATTTCTTGGAACAATTCACTACACTTTCTTAAACAATTTGAAGTGATTATTCATTATTATTTGACAGATTGTAATTTTTTCGTGATAGTTACAAAACAATTACAAAAGATTTATACCGTAGCAAACGCTACGTGACTGAACACGCTATCTTTAAACTTTCACCGAATCACTGCTGATAACGAAAATACTGGTACAGGTGAAACACAAACCAAACCTGGCGAGACACGTGTTTATTCTTCACTGAACACCCACATCCCTCCACAATTGGGTACACAGCACTTGTAGAACTCGCAAAAACGTTAAATAAATGTTTCCACTTTATGCATAAGAAACAATCTTCATCGGTATCATGCAATTATTAATAATATTTCTCGTTATTTCTGTGAGGGTGAAGCTTGAATTAATAAATATGCAAGTTCTATTTTTGATATTGTGTTAGTGCGTTGGAAGTTATCTTTATACATATTAAACAAATAAATACGTTTTGTTAACAACTTTACGTTTTAAAATAGAAGGATAGGGAAGAGTGTAAGGTTTAATGTCTTCTCGCACGAGTACGCGGAAGTAAGAGAGGAAAACTTGTGCTATGGCACTACACAAATAACCAATTTTTTAAATGAACTAAAGTAAAATGGTTTGAAAGAAATGAACAACAAAAACCCTGCGTAAACCATAGTGTACACAGAAAGCATAAATAGTATGAGATAGAGAAATCTAAGCCTAGGCCTGACGACACAAAATGGCCACAATCACCAAGGGTTAAAATAAAGGTGGCATTGATAGTGTCGGTAAGTGCCGAACCATCAAAAAATTAAATGTCCAAGGGCATCGCAGGGTAGATTACAATGTGAAAAACGTTTGTATGAGGCTTTTGGCTTCGTATAAGTTGAGTTTCATTCTTAAGCATCGCAAACAAAATTCTTCTGTATAAAGCATTACTAAAACCTGTCTGGAAATATGGAATACAACTTTGGGGAGCAGCTCAAAATTCAAATATTGAAATATTACAACGCTTCCAATCTAAAAGCTTAAGAAAATTTGTAAATGCTCCTTGGTACGTAACGAACGCCACAATACACCGAGACTTACAAATGACAACAATAAAAGAAGAAATTAACAAGACCAGCACAAAATACTTACAACGACTACATAACCATCAAAACATTAACAATTGCCATTAACTTACTAAACAATAGGGATACTACCAGACGACTTAAACGATATCATACTTTAGACCTGATATATCGACTATAAATTGTTATATTATTTTCTGCTTTATTATTAAATATGCTTATCATCTTATATGCTTAGTATGTTAGTTTAGTTATCAAATATGTTTAGTGTGTGTTAATCTAAAAAAAGTAATATTAGGAGTACGGCCAATGGACCTTAGTCCTCTCATGTTATTAAATTTGTATGTAATTTTGCCAAATGTTTGTACCCAAACAAATTGAAAAATAAAATATTATTATAAAAAAATATAAGTTGAGTTTTTAAGGCTCAAGAACGCTTGTTTAGGACGCTTGTACGTAACGATATAGCTGACTGGGGGCTGGGGGTTGCATTTAACATTAATATTTGGATGCGTTTTTAAACAAACTCGTCATATTTTAAAAGTCAAAGTGCAATTTGTTACGTCTACGTGAAATTCTCCTTGTATAAAGCCCTCATTTACAAAGATGCGGTTTGCGCGTGAGAGGCGAAAAGGTATGTATACACTTGAAATATATAGGAGAGATTACAAAGAGCATACACACATTACGTAACTATGCAATTTCTATCTCCTACACAAAAAAACAAAAATATTTGAAAAAAATAGGACTTTGTAAGGTTAAACGTGGTTGGTAATAAAGCTGGGAAACACTTTTCATCTTCGGAAATTATGACAGGTGCTTAATTTTCTCAAATGAGACAAGTTGATGCCACCAAATGGGCCCAACTTCAAAAAATCAATATGAATTTTATAATACTCAAACTTCAACGACTTTATCTCAAAACATAGCGATTGGAATTTGGATTTTTCTCCTCCTTCTTTTCCGCTTTCCTCTCCTCTTTCTTTTTTGCTTTTTTTCCTTCCTCCTTGTGTATCTTTTCTTTCTCCTCTGCTTTTTCTAACCCCCGCTCCACTCTCTTCTTCTCTCTTTCTCTCTCTCTCTCTTCTTCTCTCCTTTCTCTCCTCTCCCTTCGTGCATTCTCTTCGTGTGTCGTTTAAATATGCCTTGTATTATGTGTTTCAGGAGTGTTCTTCTTTGCTATTGTAATGGCTGCAAAATTTTTCTACTTCTGCTTCCTGGTGGAACTAGATTCGACTAGTCCACTTGTTCAACAGAGTGATGTGGACCAGAAGACTATGAAGCGTGACATCGAAACTTAATAAATAATTTGATACAGAAGCTTTACAATGTTTCATGTGGTAGTGATTAAACCATCATTTAGTTTTAAAGGAACGCTTATCGCTTTTCTTTGCTTGATTTTTAACATTTAAGGATTTATTTATATTTCTACCCGAAAATGTCGTGATTCCCAAATCTCTCTTAAGCAGAGATGTTGGTCATTACAAAAATAACTGTTTTAATTAATTTTGATAATTGATTAACCGTGCACTGATTCGTAGCCGATGGAAATAACTGGTTGATGCTAGTCTCTCAGGAGCCGGATTCGTACCATCAAATCAGGATAGGGCGAGTAATCGCAAGATCTTAGCCAAATATGCAGAGAATAATGAGTCTGTAATAATAGTATTAATCCTCTAAAGATAAGGATTTTGTTTTCCTACCAAATCGGATCGCAGTGAAAAATTTTAAACAAGTGAGAAAAAAATAAGAGTTGAGGTTATTATATATTGCATAAAAGGCATCTTTTCTTTATTAATTAACTAGTGGCGTAAAACAACACACACTTTCTCGCATTATCTCTAAATGCTATGCTACTTTATACTACTACATAAATATGCACAATTTTTTTCAGCCAGTAAACATTATTTTCCATACCGAGATTCGAGCTCAGATACTCCGGACTAACTCACCATCACATTACTTCACTACAGACGAATGGTAAGGCTTGCACTCGGGCCGACGCTTAAAAATGTATTAGTCTCTACCCAATACTCCCAACACGCAATTTTTTTCAATTTTCCAAAATACGTAGGGTTTGTTGAAAATGCGACTAGCACCATATTTTTTACCGTCTATTGATACATATGGGGAAAAAATCTAAAGAAAACATTTGCTGTCGTAATAGAGAAACAAAATTAAAAATGACCTATACTTTGCACCAAATTACGCGAAAACCGCGTGTCTTTAAGAAACACATTTTATTAGGGAAAACATCTTTATCTTAAATGTAGTTGTAGAAAGACCACCACAAACTTGGACATTTGCAATTTTTGAAAAATCAGGGACTTAAACTAACATGAGACCTGGGCCACTCTCTTAAGCAACATTTATACTATCAGAGAGCGAAGTTTAATTTAAAAAATGTTATTTTTGAGAAAATTTAAAAAAATATTTTTGAGGCTTAATGTAAAGTCACCTTTAGAAACCAAAATATCCGTTTGAATTTCCCAAAGCCTCAAGTTCGCTCAGATCAATCGGGATATCAAATTTTGCACAAAACGAAACTGCTAAACGGTTTGGGCGCGGGCCTTGACAACAGACGGACGGACGGACAGACATACGTTTCGTCGTCATTAGATTTTCAAACCTTGCTTGTCAGTCCGTTTTAGTAATAGTAACAACTTCCTGACCACGAGGGGTTACATCACACAGAAGGAAGAGTACTTCCAAATGCTTATCGGAACTCCCTCACCTCTTTCACTGTTTCACAACCAACAATATAACAATAATTTACTAAGTTCTTTAGACCACAACAATTACGTCCAGTAATCCTGAAATAAGATAGTTCAGAGAAAAATGAATTCAATTTTCAAATAACAATCAGAACTTCCTCACCTCGTTGATGTTTATGAGGCCTCATGGCCTCACGAACATGGCTTCAACACCACGTGTTAGAGGAAGTGATTTATTGCAGAAACACGATTTATCCACATTTTCGTTCCCAGGCCCCGGAAATAAGTTTTTCTGCTGAAATTTTGCCGTTTTCCGGTGCACGATTACATAACTTTCTCTACTTACGAAGTGCGAGAAAGTAAATGCTACGACATTTGATTTGTGGCTAGAATAGAAACGTGAAGATGACGTCATGCGCAACTTGGCAAGTTCGCGGTAAATAGAAGAAATGTTGGTTTTGCTTAGCGAACATCGAATTGTGTGATCGTTAAAACGATTGTTTGTGAGTATCAATTTGTAAGTATTCAAAATACTTTACGATAAACATTCATTTGATATTTACTGAAAACATCAACGAGGTGAGGAAGTTCTGATTGTTATTTGAAAATTGAATTTATTTTTTCTCTGAACTATCTTATTAGTTAAAAAATTTAGATTATAGTTAAAAATAATATGAGAAGCCAATAATTAATCAGAGACCTTGCATCGTCATGATAAAAGAATTTTCCCGGAAGATTATCCGTGCGCAATCTGTAGGCAAGATCTGTAGGTAATTGGGAGAATTGCAATATATCTGGATTTGTCAGGTGCTGAGATGTACAAGGGCCGTTGCTTACGGCAATTTTCTGCAGTCATGGTGGCAATCAAAGGCTGAAATGACCTTCTTAAAACATGGTGAATGGAAGAGTGTTCTTTTTTCTTTTTGCTATTTAAGGTCGCATCAACTACTAGGTCATTAGCGACCACTATTGCTTATAACGGTATGGTAACTGTGGGTTGACACGATAATGATGATGATAGGGGGTGAAAGGACGAAACACAATACAACCATGCCCGAGGCGGGACTCGAACCCGCGATCCTTCGGTCCGAGTTCGCTATGGCACTACTGCCTTAGCGATCTCGGCCACCGGATCGGCGGAAGAGTGTTGTTCTATTGCCAAAAGGTTTTTTTAGAGATGCATTTTTACGTAAAACATGACATTTCGAGAATGTTGTACTGGGTGCTATCTAGATCTATTGCAACTAGTTTATACTTCTGAAGAAGTGTATAGATCTAGAAAATAAAATAATGTGGTACGTAAGAGTTACAGTGCACGGGGACATTCTAAAATTACAGTTTTCAAATTAATTCAACCAAATAAAGTTTATATTGAGCCATGTTATCTTATGTAAGCCGCATTTATTTAATTTTTGTATTTCATAAAAATAATTCATAAGTTTTGTTTTTACGTGAGGAGCGGGAATAAAGAATTGCAAACAGCTCTCGCACGCGTAAGTGCCGCAAGACGTATACATTTACATTTGAAATAAACTCAAGATTTTTATTCTTCTTACAAGAGAGTTTTCAACTACATGTTAGCAAAGTTTACGTGCTACTGTAGTTTACTTGCGATGCATTCTGCATTCTGAACAGATTGAGTGGGCAACACTTGCTGCATTCTTCCCCCTCTCTAGCACAATAAACATATGAAGGCAAAAGCTCGCAGCAAGCACTGATGACAACATTCCAAACACATCTTCACTGGCACGAAATAGAAACAATTTTCTTTTGAGACGAGAACTTCTATCCGTTATTTTCTCCAAACATCTAAAGAAATGACCGAAGCAGGTAAAGATCTATTACAGGAGATACCTCGAACACCTGAGAAAGTTAGAACGCAAATTATTAAGAACGTTGCGAAGGCATGACTGATTCTCCAGAGATTGGCATTTCTTTATAAAATCTAGTGGTCGATTTCGTAACTAATACCCCCACGCTACCCGCATTTCTTCAATACTTCGTTCAAGAAAAGTTGCGCGACTAATAGACGTCAGACACTGGAGATTGTACATTGCGATAGCTCTTGTGATCATTCTGCGCTCGGTACCGAACGGTGCACACCAGGGCCCGGCAACTCTCCATCACAATTGGGTACAAAGCTAGAGGTTGCTACTACAGGATGCGCTAGTGTCGCCGGATAAAGCTGCTGATAAGGCTCGCCAACTTTAGCACATAAAAATTGAT